CAAAAGGGTGATTTTTCATTGTAGACCGAAAGAAGGAAAGTTACACGGCTCAAAGGGGCTGACTAGGGGGTATGATACACCAGGACAGTCAATTTGGTCGTAGGCTATTCCTATGCTTTCATCATCCTAATTAGTGACAACGTGAATGGTACACATCATGGAAGAGGGATCTATCACACACGAAAGAAAAGAGCATGCTCAAATCTCACATGGCTACCTATATGCTCTATCTCGCATTCTGATTCCATGAACTAGATGCATAAACGACTGTACAAAATAAGTGATCAATCCAAGTTACCGTTGGAAACCAAACAGTTGAAAAACTGAACCCCTACACAACTTTACTGCACGTCTCAGTCATCATTATAGGTTGTCCTAGTCACAATCAAGTTGTCATGCATCAGTATTAACAACCATTCAATTCACCACATAAACCACAGTGCCAATATGATATGCAAACATCAGTGCTTGGAGCCCTCAAATCTCCAGATTTGGATAGCGGACTAGGCTCCAAGCACATAAACATATGTTCCAATAAATACAAAGCACCAATAATCCCCCAGACTTAAGTTCGACATTGCCCTCAATGGAGTAGGGGGAAGGGGAACGATGTTACCGGGAAATGACGATCGAGAACAGTGGTTGGAAGGCAGACCAGTCAAGAGCAGGGGACTAGAAGGGGACCAGTCCAAAGGCACAGAGCTAGAGTCATCAAAACACACAAGGTGATAGAAACCATAGTTCCGAGTGAAAAAAACAAACAAACAAAAGAAAAACAAACCATGGTGGAGATGTCTCCCCACAAGCGCTTCTTTTACGTCTTTAGCTGGACACTGGCTCCTAAGTTTCTGTCCACCCCAGAACCTCCTTGAAGTTGAAGTTCTCGTCGATGATGTGGAGTCTCAAGTCACAAGCAGGTGGTGTGATAGGTGATGAAGATAGCTCGTGTCCTTGAGGAAGATGAAGTCTCCACACTCGAGACAACTCCTTCGCATCTTCTCTTGTCTCATTGCCCCAAACCAGATGAGATATCATCGATTGACCACCATTGCATCCACCAAGAGGGATCTATGTTGATGTGGTATTGGCCTGGCAAAGAGACCCTGCAAATGGGTCCTTGCTAAGTATCTCCTCGAAGTTTGGTGGAGATATCACATGTAGCATAGGGCCGGTGCAAGCCTCTTCCACCTCAACTTCATCCTCAACCTGGACACCACTTGCTTCTTCAACCCCCCTTCCTTCTTCAAAATGTGGTCTCTCTCCTTGGAATAGATCAAGAACTCCTTCTGCTTCACTTCTGTCATCCTCCACAACTTCTTTCCTCACCCTTTCTCGCTCTTCTTCTTCCAGCACGGATTGGAGAGCAAGTCGCCAAGCAATATCTTCGATGAGATCATCTTGCATCTCATGGCCCAGGCCCATCTTGTTAGAGCAGAAATGGGGAAAGGTGTGATCTTCCACTACAGGACATTCTTGATCATGATTATCAGGGGAGCTCTCCACGACAACTTCTATCTGCTCCACAATGTCCTCATAGCCTTCGTCATCCTCATGTTTCTCCACCCACTCTGTATGCTTCGCTGAGCACTGAATAGCCTCCTCCATTTCATGGAGAAATGAGGGATCATAAGGGCAAAGGGCTTGGATCTGAAGATCCATCTTGGAGCATGAACCCTCAGTGTCTAGAGCAAACTGCTCCACGAGAAGACTCAATTGTTTGTTCGGATCTGGCAGTGGAGTGTAGCATGGCCCTGCAGAGTGGCCCGTGAAGGCCGCCATGGCCAACTCCAACTCAGATGACCCCTCTGGTTGTGGGAGGAATTTTTCTTGAAAAGGAGAAAAGGAGATCGTTCTTAAGGTTCCCAAGGGTCTGGTTGTCCTCTGTAGTAGGGGGGTTGGTACTGAAACCCGAATCCATAGCTTCTCCTCCTTGATTGCTCTAGGAAGTCTCGAGTTAATACCACACGAATGGTGGTTTTTACCCCCAATGGTTGGAGAAGCCATGAGGATCCATGTTTCAGATATGCACCAACAAAAACAAAACACCCAAGTGAAAAGCAAGGGTGGAAAAGAAAAGAAAAATGCTAAAGTAATAGAATTTCACGTTTCTACAATAACCTAGATCTACTGCCTACTCCGTGACTACCTATTATCTAGCGAGACTAAGTGTAGTGAGAGGATTGCAAACAAAAGCAATAAGAAAGCAGGAAATGGTTCAAAGTTCCTAAGCAAGGGAAGAGTCACTCGGGAATGAGTCCCCTTAGCTCCTTAGTTAAGTCAAAGTTGTAATTTTCTTTGGTTGATTTACCGTTGATTAAACTGCGTAAGATCTGACAGTAGTTTGGAATCTCTTAAGCTGACCAAGCCCTCTCAGACAGACTACTCGGCAGACGACTAGTCTTCACCGGGATAGAACGCTGAGGCAATTAACACATAACTCCACTAGTGGAATTGGATTCCAGTACAAAGCAGTGAATCGACTAACTCTCGTATAATCGATTCACTACTACCGATTGAAGAAGCTCTAACAACCTAATCAGATTCTATCTATCTCAAGTTGCAGCAGAAATAAAGAAAAGTTGATTAGGCTTCAATTGACTCAATGAATCATGCATCAATCGAATATAATCAAGCAATATATCAATCCAAAAGTCATTACAATCAATATCCCTAACACATGGAACTAGGGTTCTTCATACCCAAGTGAGAGAGAGTTCTACTCCATAGAGAGAGAGAGAGAGTTAAACAGAATACAAAGCAGTCATACTCATAACAATGAGATGAATCTGCTTTGGGATGATAATCTTCACTCTAAGGATGAAATCCAAGCTTGATTAATGAAACCCAGCTCCAAAATCACTCATAGGGTTTGTTCTATGAGTGATTTTGGAGCTGGGTTTCATCAATTGAGCTTGGAGATCATCATAGGAGTGAAGATCATCATCCCAGAGCAGATTTTCCTCATCTTTATGAGTATGACTACTCTGATTTCTGTTTTCCTCTCTCTATGGAGTACAACATTCTCTCACTTGGGTATGAAGAACGCTAGTTCCATGTGTTAGGGATCTTGATTGTAATGACTTGGGATTGTTATAATGATTGATTATAATCGATCAATGCATGATTCATTGAGTCAATTGAAGTCTGATAATCTTTTCTTGATTTCTGCTGCAACCTGAGATAGATAGAATATGATTAGGTTGTTAGAGCTTCATTAATCGGTAGTGGTAGATTGATTATACGAGAGTTAATCAATTTACTGCTATGTACTGGAATCCAATTACAGTAGTGGATTTCTGCGTTCATAGCCTCAGCTTTCTATCCCGGTGAAGACTAGTCGTCTGCCGGGTAGTTGGACTGAGAGGGCTTGGTCAGCTTAAGAGATTCCAAGCTACTGTCGGATCTTCCGCAGTTTAATCAACAGTTAATCAACCCAGGGTAATTACAACCTCGACCTAACTAAGGAGCTAGGGGGACTCATTCCCGAGTGACTCTTCCCTTGCTAAAGAACTTTGAACCATTTCCTGCTTTCTTACTGCTTTTAGTTAAAATCACAATCACTCGACTTAGTTTGCTAGATAATAGATATTCACGGAGTAGGCAGTAGATCTAGACCTCGGGTCGACAAATAGAGCTTGCCTGTTACTGCATTTCCGGACTGCGATTACACTTGGTCGCAGTTTGGTGTCGTTGTAGTATAGCGAGTCACCTATGCCTCCCTTTACTCACTAGGAACTAAAATATGGCAAAACAACACAACCTAGCGTAAAATAGGCCAAGACACCACAAATTGGAGCCACAAATTGGAGCCAACTAGAGAGCAACCAACTAGAGGAGGATACTACGAGTGTCATTGAAGATGTAAAAAACTGTATCCCAATAAGAAGTCGCGTAGGCTTTTAGCTATAATGCTTAACGTGTATGAGTAAGACTGGAGATTAAGATTTTATGGTTTAAGGTTTGCCAAAGTGTTAGAGTTTTTTTTAAGGTATGACAGTTTACTTTCAGTATTTGTGATTGGAGAACAGTGTTATTTCAGTTTGTTTGAGCAAGTTATTCCTTTTCTTTCGAAAATTTTGAGTATGCTCCGGAGCTAAACAAAAACCGTTACTTGAAGGTGTCACAAGTAAGACGGATTGTTAGAAACATTGATATTGTGTCTTTTTGCCATTTCGACTAAAGCTAATGTATCTTTTCATTTTGTTCATAAATTTAGTTGCTGATATTATGTTATTTAATAGTAATTAGTATGTGAAAAATCTATGAAATATAGTTTCTCTTACTTTATCACGTGATCAAATTCTTAAACATCAAATGTGGTGAGATATATATAATCCAACAAACCAATGATAAATTATCAACAAACCGATAATAAGTTATTAATCGATTTGCTCATAAGTTGCTAATTGAGGTGGCTCGCTAGCCATACTATTAACCCATCACATAGTTTAAAACAAGTTAGCTCATTAGTCGAGCTTCATAAGTTATTGCGTCGAGCTTGTTCACGAGCCTTACAAGCCGAACAAGGCTTACTTCAAGCTCAATTGAAAGTAAATGAGCTGAGTGTCGAAAGATTTTTCTTCCCAAACCGAATGTCGAGCCGCTCGTATCCAGCTTGACTCATTTGCAGCCCTACACGGAACTTGGCAGAAACTATGTACTTAAATCTTGATGATTTGTATAACATTGGGTATAAGAAGATTGAACAACACAATTGGCATTCTAATTGCTTCTAGGCGTGTTGACTTCACTATATAAATGAAGTCTCGTATTTAAAGATCACGCAAGGATGAACTCTTCGACCCTTTGATTATTGATCAGGGAGACTTATGAGTCTGTTTTCTTTACAAGATGACCAAGAACCTCCTTTTTAAATGCAAACATATGAAGTTAATAATCTTTAAGAAGAGGTATTGGTAATTCATGTCTCGATTCAACTATAAGAGTATGTAAGAATTTGCACGATAATATTATCGTTGGCATGATCCCCATTCAACTAAGGGACATTTAAGAATTTGTTCTCAAGAGGTATTACATAATTGGAGTACCAAAGTTTGTAAAATGATAAATGTCGCACTTATGATCGACTTTTCAAACAAGGCTACAGCTTGGCCTCGTCATACAATTTTGGAATTAATGCTTGCATACAAACTCAAATATTATAACAACAAAACAATGATAATGTCAAACCTACCAACCTTAGAGAAACAAATGTTGTAATAAGCTCCCACGCAAAGCTGGATGGTAAAGCAACAATGTCTTACATGCTTCTCATTTCTCTTTTGGAAGTTTATAGCAACAATGTAAGGGCTCCCCCACCATCATCTTCAGAAGTTCACAAATTCGAATCATAGAACTATATTTCTTGTGACATCACAATCTTGCAGCGGCTGCACATGGGAATCATGCAAAAAAAAAAAAAAAAAAAATTTGAAGATGATAACCTTCTATTGATCTACTAAACCCATACCACTCTAAGTTGGCAAGCAATCACTTGATTAAACCACGTTTACCTCAAATATAATCTGCATTGTCTAAAAATTTCCAGAGATAGGTCAGTGCCACTTCCAGGTCGTTGGATTGCAAGTAGTTGCTGCATATCTAACTAAATCAAAGCATGAAGCCTTCTTCAAAAGCATGGGGCTTCTAATGCTACCCTTGTCTTTGCAAGGATATCTGGTCAGCAAGCATTGCATCTTCTTCATCATGTGTGGTAAATTCACTGCTACCATTGTAGAGCCGAGTAGCTAATGTTGGAGATAAAGGTGCATAGCCTCCAGAGTTGATTGATGATGCATAGCCACCTGATTTTTAAGGGGCATATTGCACAATTAGTTCAGGATAAAAATAAAAGAAAGTTAAATTAGGTAGGAAACCCAAGAGATTCAGAGAACTATATGTGAACCTTTAAATGATGAACTCCTTTCGAAGTCCTTAGTAGTATGTAGCAGGATGGTTCCAGAGAGTACTACAATGAAGCCACATATTTCTGATATCACATTTCCTGCATTCTGGTCAGCCCAATCCTGAAACAAAACATTGAATATTGGTTCTTAATTTCAAAACAAGATGTATAGTTAACTACTTGTCTGAAAATTACAAGTATAGATCCGCATTTTTAAGGACATGGATCAAGTCATAGTAAATGGAGATGCACCTTGAACATGATGACACTAGCAAGAATTGTAAGTGAAGTGAACATGACATAATAAATTGGAGACACAATTGCAGTGTTGAATGTATCAAGAGCCTGGAAAAGCAGAAGCATTCTATTAGCAAAGTACAATTGGTGAAACTAATTTAAGACATCAACTTCACAAAGCGTCATGTAGCTCAATGGGACACTTGAGTCTCTTGTTGGATAAGTTATCATCAATAGTGCTATTTTAATCTGGCGATACTTCTTCTTTCCCTTTGAATCAGCAATACTTATTTCTAAGCTCTCTTCAAAAGAAAAATATGAAAGTCCCTTTTTATTGAATGTCCCTAAACTTGATTATATTTGACGATAACATTATGTTTGAACACCCAATTTTAGGAACTCCACTTTTTAACTAGAATTATACTTTGAGAAGCCAAAATACACAAAGTGGTAAGGTATCTGAGGGCTTGAAATCTAGGCAAATATCACCAGCAGTTATGCAGAACTAAAACTAGTTCAAACTTTCACCATTTACATTGCCAAATAAGCATACCACAACATTGTAAAGAACTAGCGACATGTACAATGTAAGTAATAGTGTTCCAAAGTGATCTCAATTAACCTGGAAGAGCCTACATACTTATGACTTTAAGTGTGATTATTTTAGCACATGATTATGAGGATAAAAGCAAGATTACGGAGTTAAAGGAATATAAATGAATAATAAAATTAAGTATTTATTTCCTTCAATCAGTCCAATTCACCTTGTTGAGATAATTCATTTGCGTGATGACACATATGGCCACAACGAATGTAAAGAACCATGTCTCTGAGTAAAGCAGTTGATTTTTCCCTTCGAAAGTCAATTTTAAAGCAGTTCCAAGTGCTTTGACACTCATCACCTGAAAGATAAGCACAAAAAAACAACTCTAAAATGCAACAATTAAGCTTTAGTAGTTATTATTCCATAGTAGAAAGTCACCTTATGAAACTCACTCCAACATATCATATAAGATTATTTGCAACACATCAACTTGATTCGACAATCAACATCATTTCAACTAATAGTTAACACAAAAGCTCAAACAATTATATATTATATTGCAAAAATGTTTTTTTTTTGTTCTTTTAAATCTGTGATTATTGCTGGAGATTAAACATAAAGCTAGCACAAAAAAGATATCAAAGTACCAACACTAGTTGAAATGATTTACCGATAGAGAACCCATCAATGAACAAATGCCGGTGAAAACTAACACATTTGAGTTCCCATATTGTGGAGCGTAAAGGAAGACAAGAATGAAAACCAACACAATCACTGAGGCGACATAAAACAAAAAACCTGCAAGAAGAGGACAGTTGGGTTAGTGAATAACAGAGTAAACATGCATAAAAGATGGAAAGAATTTAAGGGAAGTAATTACCGGGTTGAGTTGCCATATTCCACAATTGAAGAACAGAATTGATTGGGTGCTCTTCTGGTGCATGAATCACAACTACAACGGATCCAGCAATGCACATTACACAACCCACAACTCCTTGAGCATGCAACTTCTCATTCAAGAGGAAATGTGCAAGGATAGCACTACAAGTACATGACCATAAATCCAAACTCCAAATGATTTATTTTTACCAAAATAAAAAAAATCTAAAATACTTAAATGAATGAAATATGTCACCTAACAATGATACTTAGTGCACCAAGTGGAGTAACCAGAACAGCCGGAGCAAATGCATATGCAACAAAGTTTGCAACTTCTCCTACAATCACTGGATCCAACAATCCACAATCAAATACTCTCAAATTATCAAACTTCACCCAAGAATAACCAAACAAATTCAATAGAGTCAATCCCATGAAGCAAAGAAGAAGGAACTGACGAAAAGGGCGAAACTTACTGGTAATCATGCCAAACCACCATAGAGGCTCTGAGAGATAAGAATACCCACCAACACCTACGAAATTTATAGTTTAGATGAGCAAGGAAACTTCTCTAAACGCGACCGGAGAAAGGAAATTTACCAAAAGGAAAAAGCAAATCACCTGCTCTAACACCGGAGGTGGCACCGGCTTTCTTGAGACCTTTCTTCTTGATGATGAAGCTAGCCCCGATGAATCCACTAGACACCAATGCCAAAAGCACGCCGGTTAGATTTTCTTTAGCTATGACATCCATCTGAGATTTCCCGGCCAGCCGTGATTTTGGGTCGTGCCTCTATCCCATTCATCGGAATTTGTCAATCAATAGTGTTATTAACTCATCGGCAATATTTTATAAAAACACTCAACAATAACATTCCTCCAATTTTTATATACTAGCTCTTGGCCCGGCCATTTGGCCGGAATTTTAAGTTGAAGTGAGTATAACAAAATAATTTTTACATATTTTTTTTATTAATCTATAGTTTATATCTTTTAATCTCATTAGTCATCTTCGAAGTTAACTTAAATCATAAAAACTAAATAAATGTTTGAACAATAGTTATGTTATTCAACCATAAAATTGCATCGTAAACAAAACAAAAAACTTAGACAAAATCAATATTATCCTTTAAACACTAACTCTCAACTCCATCTTTTGAGAAAGAATAATGCATGTCTAAATTATACTATCCACTCAGAGCCTACATGTAATACATGAACCTTTGAACCATTTTTTTCAAACTCCAAATAAGAAAATTTTTTGAAGAATAATTATGATAAACATCCTCTTAAAAATTATATTCCAAATTTTCTTATCTCAATCTATACCCCAAGAACTCAATGAAATTTGCTGCACCCTATACTTACTAGTCAATACAGTGAAATCATATAGTCTAAACTATTAATTCTTGAACTCTTAACATTAAACTTTACACTATAACATCACACAACCCAAAATATATGAGATGCAACCATTAAAATATTCCTTAGAATAAACTTAGTATTTTGTTAGTAAATGAAATATACTGTTGGTAATTTCCTAAGATATGAAAGTAGTAAAAATCTTGAATTTGATATATATTATTCTAAATAATTAATAATGCAAAAAAATTTAACCATAAACTTACATCTTAATCAAGAAGCCAAACCAAAATATTTTCTTTGTAAGAAGTAAATCTCAAAACAATTAATAACAATTAAGCACATGAGTATATACCTTAACATTATGCTAAAACAAACATCTTCAATATCTCTATTTCTGAGTTTGTCGCTCCAAGCACTAACCTACTTGATTAATTTCATTCCGTGTTATCCAATATATTCAACTTAATTGTGATAACAAATTTATATGAACTTTTTGTAAACTTTAAAATAAAATTTGTTACGACACCAATAATTTCTTCATACACTTGAAAGTATTATGTACATGGATGTTATGTAAATATATCATTATGATATAAATTTATACCATGACCTTTCAGGTGTCAAAACTGATATAGTGATACTATGTTGTTATGGTTCAGAAACACTATAATATGGTAATTTAACGCTCGACAGTGACCACATCTTCAAGATGATAAAATATTTAATTTTAAAATATATCAAAATAAATATCATTAGATAAATAAAATATGAACCGATAAAGATAATGGTGAATTACGGAAAAAGTGAAAAGAAAGCGACATGTATCAGATTTTGATAGGATGATTGAAAATTGAGAATATTAATAAAAATCAAACTTTATTATAACAAGATACTTTTGAAGAAGAAAAAAAAGTTCAACGGTTTGGAACCTAAAAATTGGGTAGTGACAAATGAAAACTTCCACGTCTACTTTTTTATATAAATATATCTTTTTAATTCTTAATTATGTCAATTATCATCATATCCCTACCTAAACTTAAGCAGAGAGCATAAAATTCAAAATGGAGAAAAGTACACAAAAGTGTACTACATATTATAGGAGGATTGTCCGCTTTAAATGTATCTCACACAATATTGCTTTTGCTTGCATTATCGTGGCTTTCCAAGAGGTCATGGATCTTTTCATGCTTCATTATAAGCACGTCTCGTAAGTTAAGCTAAGAATGTTCCTTACTCTATCGATTTGAGGTTTTTATAAGGTGTTACACGCACCCTTTAAACCGCGTCTTGTAAGTTAAGGCTAGAATGTTCCTTTGTTGATTTGGGATTTACCGACGGTGTTAGATGCACCCTCTTTGCAAGTCAACGTCCTCGTTGCGATTTGCTTGAAGTAGATCGAATCAACTCCCTCGGGGATTACCCGGATGCGTATGTACTCTATTCAACCTAGGGTTTCATATATTGCTAGGAAGTAGATCGAATCAACTCCCTCAGGGATTACCTGTACAATATACGATAGGAGTGGCCCGAAGACGCCAATAGTGGGCTTTAAGGGGACTTTCTCCCTCCTAGGTCAAAAGCTCAATACATGAAAATGGAAACCCAACTCATGCCATTCATGAAAACATCATCAATTAAGTAAAATCATCAATCAAACATGGAATTTGTCATATACATCAACATAAAACCAAAACCTAGACCTAGGGTTCTTATTCCCAAGAGGAGAGGGTGAGTTTCTAGAGAGAGAAGAGAGAAATTACAAGTTGGAGCACAAGATCTTCTTCTTCTAAGCTTGATTCCTTGCTTTCAAGCTTGATCAATGCCTTCAATTAAGCTCCAAGATCACTCAAGAACTCTCTCTCTCTCTCACTAGAACTCCCCTTTGGTATTTTGGGTCGAAAACCTAGAGAGAGAATCAATTTCTCCTCGAAAAAACAGCTCTCCTTTATCTCTCCACGCAACTGTCTTTTATACAGCCCGAAAGTGTCGACATCACGGTCACTGTTCACGGCGTTGACATCGGAGGCCAGACCGTGATCTCGGCTGAAAACACAAGTGTTGTTGTTGTTTTGTCCGACTTCACGGTCTAGGGATAATCCTGAATTATAATCCTGGCGATCGTGATATATGTGGCCTTAATATATGTGGACAACGTTGTACTAACGGGTGATAATCCCGAGGTGCATTGATTGCGTGAAGAACTTCCTTCATGATCGCTTCAGCATTAAGAATTTGGGGCCACTCAAGTACTTCTTGGGTCTTCAAGTTGCTTGATCACCAGATGAGATCGATTTGTGTCAGCGCAAGTATATATACTGGATATTTTGGCCGATTCCGGGTTGGGAGCTTCGCGTCCTGAGTGGATTTTCGATGGATCAAAATCACACTCTCACCCGGCCTACAGATGATTGTGTTGATGATGTCAGCTCTTATCTACGTCTCATTGGGCAATTTCTCTATCTCACCATTACTCACCCAGACATTGCTTACTCCATAAGCATCTTGAGTCAATTTGTTCAAGCACCCAGTCCTGATTATGTGGCTTTCGCTCATCGTGTTCTCCATTATCTCAAGAATGCACCTGGTCAAGGTATTCTTTTGCCTTCCACTGGTTCTTTGACTCTGACAGCATTGGCGGACCCAGGATTGTTGGAGAGGTGTGTCGCCGATAAATATTAAAAATTTAATTAAAATTTAATTGATAAAGTTCACAATGTCATGTTTACATCAAATCAAAATGACTTTTCATTTACTTAAATGTCTCTAAAATACATTCATCACTTATGGTGCAAAGCAAAATTTTTTCAAATATACACAACAATCATTCATAAATTTGTTACCCAACCGATTTCGAAGATCTTTCTTCATTATCTTCATAGCTGAGAATGCTCTTTCGCAGCTTGCATTTCAACATATAAAGTCATACCAACTTCAAAAGCAAGTATTCTGGTGAGTCTCGATAGTTGCCGCTTGGGCTTTGGTAATTCTTTTGTTTCTCCATTAATGAAAGGACCCATCCCAGCACACATGTATATTGGTAGGGCCTGTGGGTTTTTTTGATAGCAATTGATATGATTATGAGTTATTTTAAACAAATTAAAAATTGTTAATTAGAATTTAAGATTGATTCATTTAAATAATAAAAAATTTCCAGTCTAATGAAGGTGTGTCGGCTATAATTATCGAAGGGTTGTCGGAAGTCGAGAACTTAAAAATTTTGTACCTAAAATATGTAGGTCCTTCACAAAATTCTCGGGCGAGGGTGTGTCGGACGACACACCCTCCCTTGCCTTGGGTTCGCCACTGTCTGACAGCTTATTATGATGCAGACTGGGCTGGTTGTCAGTCAACTCATCGCTCTATGACTGGATACTACATTAAGTTGGGTGGTGCTCCTGTTTCCTGGCATGCTAAGAAGCAGAGAGTAGTTGCTAGAGGTGTCAATCGGGCGGGTTGGGTCAGATTCGGATTGGTTCTAACCGGGTTGGGTTCAATTGGGTTGCGAGTTCAATCAGGTCGGTTTCAATTTGGATCAGGTTTAATTGGGTTGCAGGTCAATTGGGTTACAAGTCAATCAGGTCACTAGTCAATTGGGTTACGGATCGGGTCGGGTTACGGGTGCATCAAATTACAGGTTTATTGGATTGCGGGTTAATTCGGGTTCGGTCAGGTCGGATTATGGGTTATTCGGGTTAATCCATTGAATCATTTACTTCTTGATAGAAAATAATATTTTAAAAACTATCAATATATGAATATAAATTGTAGGTAATGATACAAAATTTAAGAAAATGATAATATTTTACACATACAAATTAAATATCCATTATGTTAGTATAAAAACTAAATATAAATAAAATAGTGTATATAAAAGCTTTGTTGTTGGTTATAATTGTTTTTGTTTATGGTGAGATATTGTAACTTCACTTATTTATTAATTTATAAAAAAAATTGAATCAGTAAAAATTTGAGAATGAAGTAAAAAAAGGTAGACTATATGCTTATACATCTCGAAATAAATTGTTTAATTAAACATAGTATGAACTAGATGTATGTCTCTTCATTTCCACGAAGACTTATGAACATCATTTCGAATCACCCACTTATATATCTTCACAATTTTTTTTATATATTCACGGTAATATCTCATCCTAAAACGCATGGATCGAACAACGGTTCGCTCAAATATGATATTATCATCTAGTTCGAATCGTCGATTTATTAATTTATAATAAATAAATAAATAAAATCAGTAAAAAGTTGAGAATGAAGTAAAAAGGGTAAACTATCCACTTATATATCTTGATAGGGATCATTGATTTCATTGATTTTGGGATTTCATTGATTTTCAAGGGTTGATTTTTTTAATATAGTTATGGGTGGTGGAGATACGAATTTGTGTCTAAGTCTTCCTATTATCTTCAAAAATTTATCCTTTGAATTTCATAAAATAAAAAATGAAT